TATTTTCGGTTATGTCGGGTAAGTCAAGCTGAGTACCTTCTCATACTCAGGGTTTTATTCCCACTTGTTGCAGATGGACAGATGTATTACGGCTACTGTATCAACTGCCTTTATCCTGCGATGGGTGATGCTTAGGACCATGGGCATGGTCATTCCTTATGTCTCGTCTGATGCTTTTGTTGGAGATGATCATTAGCTGGCACTGTATTTGAACTTCGTGTGAGTGTGTGTAGTTTTGAACAAATGGCTTCCGCTACTTCTATTTGAACTCATTTTGTAATAACTATGTTTAAACTCTGATGTATCTGTGATGCGAACTTTTATGTAATATGTGATGGTGACCGCTAAACTTATTACGATCTTAGCTGGTATGTGAGTTGGTTTGAAATCCTTCATGATTTCACGGACTACCAGGTTATACGGGCTTAAGTTTGCTAAATCGTCTGCTCTGGCGGATGATTTTCTTACTTAATTTCGTATAATTGGTCTGTTCTGTTACAAGCAACTCGAATTTTATTCTCCTTAATCTCATGGAAGTAATCCCAAACAGTAGAAACTTTCTTACCAGAGGTGGTTGAGGTACCATGAGTGTCAGTGGAGACATCAACTCCACCATCACCGTCGTCGCCATCGAGATCGATGGGCTGGTTGCCATCACCGAGGTCGATGCCGAACAGACTGGCTGCATCATCACGTAGGTCGTCGTCGTCCTCGACTTCTAGCTCGTCGTCCGGGTGCGGCGCCTAGTCCTCGCCGTCGCCGAGGGGATGCTGATCCTCCCCCCGCGTTGCGAGGCCAGAACCGCAACCGCCCGCGGACGAGCCAGACAGCCGTCCACGACCTTGACCTCCAGCAGCTCCAGCACCGTCCCTCAACGAGCGCTTTGGTGGCCTGGCCATGTCTACTCCAAAGGAGGAAGACGTGGCGTCAGGCACCAACCTGCACACAAAGAAGAAGAAGAAGAAGAAAAGTGAGAGATGACACTTGAGAGACAGAGATCAGAGAGAGAGAGCAGAGAAGAGCAGATCTAGGGTTAGGGAAAGTGACGAACCTGCTTTCCCGGAGCCCGGTGCCGGAGATGAAGAAGCCAGCGAGCCAGCCAGAGGATGAGACAGACACCGATTAGAATCGACGACGAGGTGGGGGAGGAGGGAGTGACATGAACATGAACTCACATGGTTCACCGATTCCGAAGCGAGAGCGAGAGGAAACAGAGAGAGGAAAAGGAGGAGGAGGCGGGGTTAGCGAAACTCAAGGCGAGGTGGAGGAGGCCCGAGAGGTCACCGGTGCGTGAGAGGACGGACGACGATGGTCGATGGAGAGCGGCGGCGGTGGTGGATCGCGAATCACGTAGAGCGAGAGTGAGAGTGAGGCAATGAAGCGAGAGCAGATTGGCAAGGGGGGAGGAATGGGGATTAGGGACTTAGGGTTAGGGATGGAGAGGGAGGCAGCGGGCAGCGGCTTATATATGCGGCGGGGTGGGCTGGCTTCGTGGGCTGCCTCCCTTGCTGGGCCAAATGAAGCCGTTGGGGCACCGGGCCGCCTCTTTGCACCGGGCCGTGCCCGTGCCGTGCCACGGGCTGGGGTGGCGAAGGCCACCGGGCTGTGCCGTGCCAAAACGCCGGGCCACGGGCCAGGCCAGTGGGTTGCATGGCCAACTTTAGTCCATGCCAGGCTAAAGAAAGTCTGCGTGCCCGCAGAGCCCATGAGGCCACGCGTGGGTGTGCAGTGCACCGCCACGCGTGGCGAGCTGAAGCTCCCCGTCCCCGCCAGCGCCAGGGGAGCGCGTCAGATCCAGCACGGTAAAGCAGGTGCCCTTGCCCTTGAACGACGATCTTGCGTGGGTGGAGAGCTCCACCGTAACCGACCTGCACATGCACAACCTGCCATTGCCGAGATATGCCAGGTGACCGTCTCCCCATAGGGAACCTCCTCTCGGTTCTCCACAGGGAACTCCCACATGTACCACACCACCGGGGGCGTGCCTCGACGTCGAGCGCGTACAGTACAGGTGGTGGCACGACCACTTCAAGCAGATGCGACAGTCCTTGCGGTCTTCGCTGAAGCCAATGACTGAACGGAGCTCTGGCACGAACAGAGCACGCTCATGGAACGGAGCCACCCAGTCTCCCTCCTTCCTCCATGTCCCGCGCTCGGCGTCCAAGGAGAAGGTGCCTCTGCCGTCATTGATGGAGATCCACACGCGCGAGCCCACTGCGAAGTAGGCCACGACGCACACGGTGTAAAAGCCGTCACCGTCATCCGGCTTGAGGGGCCCGACGGGCGGGTTCGGGAGAGGGTCGGCGCGCCAACTGCCGCCGCCGGGGACACGGCGGAGCGCCTAGTCGCCGCCGCGCAGGATGGTGTCCATCACGACCACCGTGTCATCACCCACCGGTAGCATGGCGGCACGGAGCTTGGCGTCGCGCAGCCGCGGGCCGGGCGAAGAGGCCTGCGTGGCGACGTCGAGGATGACCGTGTCGCGGGACTTGTAGACGAGGCCCAAGATGGTGCCGCCGGAGAGGGCGAGCGCTCCGAACTCGGTGGTGGCGTGATCGGCGAACCAGCGAGTGATCGGGTGCGTGGAGACGCTGATCTCCACCGCCGGCTCCTCCTCGGGCTCCGCGGAGGCGACGCTCTCGACGTGGACGTTGTACAGGAGGAGAGTCTCTTTGGCATCGCTGTTCACCAAAAGCGCATGGTTGTTGGCCGCCATGCGCGCGGCACGTATGCTTTGCGGAGGCGGCGTTGGAATCTGCTAGCGGCTAGCGCCCTCCATGCCAAGAAAGAACCACTAGATCTAGATCGATCAAACTTGACTACTTTTACCTGTCCTGCCGGCGGCGTTGCGGATGCAGGGCTGGCAGCCTGGCAATATATAATCGGCGGCACTCTTCCGTTGAGCTTATTACGCGTGTCCTACTTTGCTAGTATATAACGGTTTAAAATATTATTTATATCGAAATACTTGTTGTATACGGTGTCTTCTGTCATGGGCCATCAGGTCAATTATCAAATGTTTCTCGGCCGAAAAACAGCCCACCACTGAATGCGCCAACAACCAAAAACCTGCTAGTTTTCCTCTCTTTTCCCCTGTTCTTTATGGTCCATGGCAGCCCATTAGCCACACGTGTTTGTCTCATTTGTTTTATTTTCATTCATTCTTCCCTAATTTAGTTTTCTATCTTGTTGTTTTGGTTGTTGTACTCTTTTTTATTTGTTTCTCTAATTCTCAATTCTTTAGGTTTATGCTTGTTAAATATAAATAAATCTATAACTAAACTATACATGATCCAATGAGTATGAAATTTTTACTACAGTTTAATCATACAATAATTAGCCCACCATAAAATTTCATCACAATTGGATCATAGAAAACTGCAGCTATGAATTATTTTAATTATTTACATAAAAGCATAGATCTAAAGGCACATCAAAAACTTTGTACTAAAGCATACCATATTATATGTTCACTATGTAGATCTACTCATGTGGAGTCCAAAAAAAATAGATTTTCTATTTTATGATTTTTCTAGGATTTACTATGATTTTTCAAAGATTCATCCGAAATAAATAAAAAAGAAAATTACAAAACCGTTTTCAAAACTGCTTATAACAGGGTCAGGGAGATAAGATGAATGGTTTTAAAAGTTGAGGGAGGTGTTTTGTCCGGTTTTGGAGTTCAGGAGGAAAAGCGAACTTTCGCGAAAGTTGAAGGAGGTAATGTAGACTTTTTCCTTCCTCTTTTCCCCTGTTCTTTATGGTCCATGGTAGCCCATTAGCCACACATGTTTGTCTCATTTGTTTTATTTTCATTCATTCTTCCCTAATTTGTTTTCTATTTTGTTGTTTTGGTTGTTCTACTCTTTTTTCATTTGTTTCTTTAATTTTTCATTTTTTTTCTTTCCTTTTTTACTTTAAAATCTACTTTCAAATTTATTTCATTCTCCCTTTTTATTACTTGAGTTTATCCACCAAAACACATAAAGGGCAAACATTTTTCTCTTAAAAAGTTAGAACATTATTTCTTATTGAACAGAATAGATCTAAAAAATCATGGAACAAACTGCATGCATGAACATAACATTTTTCTCTTTAATCAATTTTTTTTGTTTAGGGAACACCAATTACATTTATGGAGCAAAACACATATATGTGGAAAAAAATCTGTCAATCATATTAAAGTTTTTGTTATTAAGCAGGATATTTTTCTTGTGTGATTGGAACAGTTTTCTTGTAATCCTGAAACAATTTTCTTGTAGAACAATTTTCTATTGGAAATCCAACAATCTTGTTGTGAAGGCGGAGTTTTTTTTCATTTTTTTCATGCATCTCTAAATTTGAAATAGTTTTCTCGGTTGGAATATTGTTGTTCCTCTGGATGGAAAAAAAAATGTTCTAGTTTCACTCAGCCGCAAGACACAACTGCCCAAGAGTTTAATTGTAGCTCCCCAAATGTGAGCATGGACATATGGAGCTAAGTGCGTTTCTGAAAGAAAACTTTCATCAGGGCCTTGTTTAGATCCCATCAAAATTCTAAGTTTTTTCACTCTCTCTCTGTTACATCAATTTTTGGACACATGTATGGAGTATTAAATGTAGGTAAAAAAAATAATTAATTGCATAGTTTGATTGTAAATCACGAGACGAATCTTTTGAGCCTAGTTAGTCCATGATCGGACAAAGTTTGTCAAATACAAACGAAACGTGCTACAGTGTCCGGATTGCAAAAATTTGCAATCTAAACAAGCCCAGATGTCCAAGTCGGAGCATAATAATAAAGCTTAACAAAATTTTCTAAATGTAATGATATACCGCACGTCCGTAACAGATGTACAAATTTGCACGGATGATCTTGACGAAGATACAATTATTAGGCGAAGTTCTTGAGCAGACATTTCATTTCATACGTAGTGTGAAACTGGGTTTGATTTCTATACAGCGGGGGTGAAATTTTTGTAAGGCGATAGTACAGGCAAGGTTGTTATTAGTTACAGGTGCTACTGCCTACTGAACATGCTACGTAGCCTGCCGCCCTCCAGCCTCTCGTGCAGCTTCTTGGCGCCGGCCACGTCCATGTCGGAGAGCTTCTTGAGGTACCCAATGGCGCCGTGCGAGACCATCACTTTCTTGCATCGCTTGGTCCCCGAGAGCGTGAGGAGGCCGGCGATGGCGTACTTCTTAGCCGTGTTGGCTGGGCTCGGGTCCAGCAGCTGCACCAGGCCGGGCACACACTTGTCGTCCTTCTTCATCTCCCGGGCGTTGGCAGGGCAGCTCACCAGGCTCGCCAGCGCCTGCGCGGCCACCTCGCGCGCGCCGTTCGACTTGGCCTCCAGCAAGCGCACCAGCAGCGGGATGCAGCCGTGCTCGCCGACGGCGCGCTTCATCTCGGCGGAGCTGGAGATCCGGCAGATCGCCGCGGCCGCCGCCTGCTGCGCGCCAATCGACCCGACCCTGAGCACGTGGACCAGCCGCGGCAGCACGCCGAGCGCCACGAGGCTGTCGGGCGAGACGGCGCCCACGAGGTTCCGGAGCGCGCTCACGGCCGGCTCCTGCGGCAGCGGGCCGTCCAGGTAGAGCAGCAGGCTGCGCAGCCCGCCCTCCGACACGACGGCGTGCCGCAAGCCGTCGTTGCCGGACGTGAGGTTCTGCAAGCACTCGGCGGCGTGCTCCTTGGCGCCCGCCACGGCGCAGCGGTCCAGCAGTCCGACCATGACGCGGACGACTCCTTCGTCCGCCAATGCCTGCCGCACCTCCGGCACCGCCGAGAGAATCCTGAGCGCGCCGGCCGCGGCGGTCTGGGAGACGGAGTCCCCCGTCTGGCAGATCTCGACGAGCGCGCCGGCGCCACCGTGTCCGACGACCGCGCGCGCGACGTCAGGCGACGACGCGGACAGGCGCTGCAGCGTGAGCGCGGCCTTCTCGCGCGCCACGAGGCTGCCGGACTCCGCCAGCCTGATTAGCGGCGGCAGGACGCCCTCGGTCACGAGCAGCTCCTCGCAGGCGGCGCCGCCCGACTCCGCGGCCTGGCACACGACGGTGGCGGCCTTCTCCCGGACCACGGGCGCCGACGCCGTGAGCAGCTGCACCATCGCGGAGACGCTGGCGCGGCCGAGCGCCGCCAGCACGCTCTGCTCGTCCCTGCGCAGCGCGTCCAGCAGCCCGTCCACGGCCCGGCTCTTGGCCTCGGCGTGCCCGATCTGCAGCCTCGCGAGCAGCTCCCGGACGTCCGCGGACGGGGCCGCAGCCGCAGCCGCAGCCTCCTCCGCCGGCGTGGACGGGGACGGGCCGGCGGCGTCCGACAGCACGCCGGTCTTGACGAGCAGCGCGCAGTCCCGGAGGCCGAGGTTGAGCCTCCCGGACAGCGCGTCGACGGCGCTCTGCGTCCTCAGCTTCCCGTCCGCCGGCGGCTCCCGGCACCGCGCCGCGAGCTCGGCCGCGTCGGCTAGCGTGGCGGCCACGGACTGCAGCAGCTCCCGGCACAGCGCGTTCCTGGCGAAGCAAGGGTGGCTGGACAGGTCGGACAGGCACGCCGGGAGCGCGTCCAGCTTCGCGGCGATCGCCGTCCACCGGCCCGGGAACCCGCGCGCCGCCCGCGCCGCCGCAGCCGCCGGCGGCACCATGCCCCGGACACGCTCCAGCAGCTCCTCCGCCGTCTCCTCCTCCTCGTCGCCCCCACGGAAGCTCATTTCTTGGACCCCGCTGCTACTGCTGCTGCTGCTGATGCACCAGTGTCCACCGTGATCTGGAGTGGTTGAGAGAGTGGTCAGAGCTCAGTGGTCCGAGCAAGACACTGGAAGCTAAATCCGCAGAGGGACGGAGGGGTGGTTGGCTTGGCGAGGAGGGAGGAGGAAGCGAGCAAAGGAGCCGTACTGGAAAAAGAAACACTTGGGGAACAAACACTAGAGAAGAAACGAGCATGCAGTGGCTGGGGAAGAAGGAATCATCCCCGGCTGGAGTATTATTATTATTCTACTGAGCAGACGAGGCTACTGGTGGTAGCATTTCGCCATTTGCAGCGTGGAAAGATACCGGCAACCATGAGCCTACTCTTATTGCTTCTTCCTAAAAACAATCTGCTTGGCGATTCGATCGTGTTGGGTGGAATGTCAATTCCGTTCGGGGGTGCCGGTGCCAGTGCCAAGACGGCACGGGGATCTATCTACGAGGGGGTCTTGTCGTCAGGAACCACGTCTGCGTTTCCAGTTTCTTGTGCCTGGCCTATTTGTTTATTAATGGAGCATTAATCATGTGAGGTTATCTCTGACCTGTTTAGCACAGCTCCTCTAAGAGGCTCCTCTATTTTTTACTGAAAAAACGGCTCTTTTAAATAAACGTTTAGCAAGATTTCTCTAGAGGAGCCAAAGCCGAAGAGAAGCCCTGCCAAACAGATCCTTAAAAACTGAGTGGGTTTTGGACTCGAGGGAACGAGGACGAATGACGAGCACCAAGGACAAGGTCGTGATGTCCGCGGAATGCAAGCATTAAAAATCGCTGCCGCATGTAGCCGTAGTGTCACGCGTGCGTACATATACGTACCACTTGACAGTTGCCACTGCGTACCTAATACTACCTAGACGGACGGCTTTGCTGATTGCAGAGGTTGCTGCCGCTATTCGGATAGATTCGGGGGAAAGAACAGTGTCACGGCAGTAGCACTAGAAAAGAAGCATTGGCCATCATCCTCACCCATGCGGCGTGCCATGATCAGGGTGAGATTTTTACCTTGGCGACACGAGCAAGATTTGGCAGCTCGTGTTGTGACGCAACCGCTGCTGTAGCTCTACAGCTACGACCACTCGCTTTATTTATTTTATATTTATCTGAGCAGGAAAGAGCGGCGTAAAAGTAGTTTAACCGCGTAAAAGTACTAGTATTACACAGAGGTACTGTAGGTGGGTGGGTGAGGGACGCCGTCACGACGCTGGCGTTAAACCATTCCCGATCTCGGAACCCATGAGGACCCCATCATTAACGGCCAGAGTACTGTCGAGGGGCCCGCGCGTCAGCGACCCCACCGCGGTCTGGCCAGCCCAATAAATAACGCGCGAGTGGGGCGCCGTGGCAACTGGACCTGGGCGGGAGGCGGCGTGGTGCGTGGGGTCCTGCTGTCAGCCATGTGGTGCCGATTCCCGAATCGGCCAGCGGCGCAACGCAAGCGACCGAGTCCACGGAGGCGCATCGGGTTCGTTCGGCTTGGCTGGCTGGGTCTGGTCCTCTGGGTGGTCAGGCGGCTCACTCGAGTGCGCATCCAAAGGCGAGCAGGGCCCGCGTGTCAATGTCATGGAGACGAGCCCGGGTGGGGTTTGGAAGGAGACGGGCGGCGCCCTAGGCTTCGCTTCTGGTCATCCTCTGGTGGGTGGTCGACTAGACGACTACCGAGGCGTCAGGCGTGTGTGTGCCTGCCTGACCGAGCGCTATCAGCCTAGTAGCATCACGCCTGCCGGTGCCGGAGTGAAGAATCTAAGTGGATTATTTTGACATGACGCTTTGTCCACACACCTCATGTTTGCTAATGTGTCCCCTAAAGTTCTATATCCTCTTGGAAGCTACAACCTCTACGCTTCCGTAGAGTAATATACTATCATATACTACTGTGTATGTACATGTGCAAGAACAATATGCTCCTTTAGTTTTACAAGCTGGTACACATGCATTGCTGCCACTCCAAACATTACCAGCCACCCCTACGAGAAAAGACCAAAATTCTGCAGCAAAGTACACTGTGCTATCAGTACTTTTAAAAAAAATCCGTGGGTGATGGCGATCCAACGCAGAGTTACCATTACGTACTCGTACAATGGCATGTACGCTTAGCTAATAAGTCACCAGACTGTTGCGACTAAAAAACAAGTTAAAAAATACAAATTACAAGAGAAGGCCTTTTTTCTGATCCACTGGACAAAAATGACTACAGTAGTTATTGTTAGGATTAATCTCCCACCAACGGCCTAACTGGGCGTTGGCCTCGCGTCCTAATCGGGGGCGCCTAATCCTATATGGTTACAGGGCCCGTTGTTATATTATAAAGGAAAGGTGAGGTAGGGGCTCTCGCGAGACGAGGTTTTTGCCAGCGCCTTGATCCCCATCGATATCCTATCCCTAGACCCGATCTTGAGAAGAAGTATTTGCCCTGTGACACGGAAGCACCACCGACGCGCAAGCAATGCCACCCGACGACGACGCCGCCACCGAGGACGTCACAAATGCCGACTCCTCTCCACCGACCGTGGCTGTCACGGCCGTGAGATGGCGTCAATCAACGAAAACCGGTACGGAGCTTCGATAACTACGACATTTGACGGTTTGCAACCTATCACCCCTTCCTCTCTGTCTCTCTGTGATCCCGAACATCTATTACTACTATGCTAAGTATCCCGATCTGATGAATACACTCAAATTGAAATCTAACAATGGCATCGGAGCCGAGGTTCGACAAGAAATCAGATCGGGGAAGTGAATCCGACCGATCTGATACGGATCGGGGAAAGAAAATAGAAAATCGAATCCTAACCCTAATCCCAGTTTTTCCATTAGGATGAACGAAAAGAAAGAAATAAAAAGCAAAGAAAACGAATCGGCAAGAACAAACCCTAACCCGAATCGGCAAGAACAAACCCTAAACCTAACCCTAGTTTTTTTCCCCATTCGGATAAACCCGAAAAGAACAACTCAAAAGAAAGAAAGGGGAAAGTAGGGCTAGGTTAGGGGTGCGTCGGATGAACTTTCACCCGTAGCGGGAGAAGAAGTCGAGCCGGGTAATGGCTCGCTCGCCGTCATTGCTGGCTGAGAAGCGTCAGCAGCCGAGGCTGCTCGGCAATGCGTGCTCACCGTTGGGAGAACACGCCGGCGAGGGCGGGGCGACACGCGAGGCTCGCTCCACCGCCTCGCTCTCGGTTTGCTGGTACTGCTACCAATGAAGAAGAGAGAGAGAGTGCGGCGTAGAAGAAGAGAGAGAGAGAGAGAGCAGCGAGCGAATGGCTCTAGGGTTCGGGAGGACGCGGCCAGACGCCGTTTTTGTTCGACCGAAGACGGCGCGCGACCGTCCGATCAGAACCAATGGCCACGGATGCTCGGCCATCGCTGCCCAAAGCAATGATGACATGTGTGACACACTTTGCAAACCCCAGCCCAGTTGCGGCTCAGTGTGGCTCTCTTCTTGTATAAGGAGGATCTGGGCGAATTGGTTTTTGTCGTCTTGGGCCACGCTGGGCTGAAATGAAAGAATGAAATCTTGTTATTATTTTCCAGGAGTAATTTCAATGCTATTTTGATGAATTTGAATGATTTTGATACAATTTTTCTGTGCAAATTTTATCCAACGATATTTTGCTCAGAAAACAGTGAATTTTTTAGTGCTTCTGTTAAATAATAATATGAAAAGATTATTAATGTTTCCGCTGTGCATGATAATTATTGTTCTCTTTGATTAAATTTGAACCAACGGGATAATTTAATTTTAATAGAAATGAATTTCTGATAATTTTGACGCAATTATGATATTGTTATTTTCTTACCAACGTTGTTAATAACAATATTATAATTTTTTGATCCATGAGAAATTGTGCATTAATTTTACTTCTGCCCAACGGTGATGTAAAATATTTGCATGGATGAATTATAAGTTTTAATTTGACCAACGTTGAGTTAAAGCATGGAATTTTATGTATAAATGTTTCTTACTTACTCTGGTGTGATTTCAGGAGGCAAATGCATTGTGAACATTGCCAACATCCCGACACTCAACGGAATCAATCACCGTGTGTGGCGGGAGAAGTATGAATTGGAACTTGCGTTGGGAGAGGTCGATTTTGCCATCACCTCACCGTGTCCTACTGAGCTAGAGGACCCGGTGAGAGGTGACAATGAAACTGACGCTGATTTTGCTACTCGAAAGCATGATCATGCTGAAATAAGAATGAAATATGACCTTGAACATAGGCAATGGACTCTCTCCAACCGCAAGTGCCTGTTGGTAGCAAAAGCCACCATAGAAGAACAGATAAGGGGCTCAATCCCTGAATGTGCTACTGCCAAAGAATATCTTGAGAAAATCAAGAGTCAGTTTACTGGGTCTACTAAGGCCACAGCAAGTTCACTGATTAAGAAGCTTGTGAATGAGAAATTCACTGGTGGTAGCATAAGAGAGCACATTTTGAAGATGAACACTATGACATCTAAGCTAAAAGAAATGAATTTAAAGGAGGAGGATTTCCTGATTCATTTGATTTTTGCTTCTTTGCCAAAAGAATATGACACCTTTATTGTGAACTACAATATGCAGCCTGAAAGATGGGGCATAGAAAAACTCATCTTAATGTGTGCTCAAGAAGAGGAGAGGATAAAGTCCTCACAAGGTGAATCTGCTCATTTTGTGAAGGATAACAAAAGAAAGAACTTTAATGGCAAGAATTCTAAACCACAAGGGAAACCTAAGTGGGATAAGGCCTCTTTCTCCAATTCACAGGGAAAGAAACTCCAGGATTCTGAGAATCAGCAGTATGGTGGAGCTGAAAAGGATCAGTGCAAGCACTGCTTCAAGAAGGGACACTACAGGAGGGATTGTCCAGACTTCCTAAAATCTCTGCTAAAGAAAGGTGATAAATTTATTACATTTGTAGATGAATCCCTGTATTTATGTTATGATAAATCCACTTGGTGGGTTGATTCATTTGCTACTACTCATGTT